TTCACAGTTTAAGTCGATGTAGTTTATTTTATTGGGAATTGTGTTTCCTTGATTGGGGTGTAAACATTGTAACAGACATTTCAAAGCGTGTAACAATCAGGTTTGAGTTGGAGGATGATGATGATGGTCCCGTTGGAGGAGCGCCATTCACAGGGTTTTTGGTCTTTGGTTGTTATGGCAACAAGTGAGGTTGGGCAATATGATGTCATGTCTCGTTTCAGAGATTTTCTGCGGATTATTCTGCAAATAAATGAGCATGACTGCTTCATGGCAGTGTTGGATTAACAGGATTTTAGCTGCTTCACCTATTTGTATTTAATTTGTGAAACATGCAGTCAGTTATCAGTTTAATAGGTACATTTACCTAAAAGTACCAGTATAATTAAAGTAAAACCCACCTTTTTATGCAGATATAGTTCGAGCTGTTTTAGAGCAGTCTTTATTACATTTAAAAGTAATTTTGGCTACTTTTCAATTTGTACTCTAAACTCCTTGAAATAAATACAAAATATTGAACATCTCAGCATGCAAAAGAGTGTAAAACATACTCTTAAGTAATCGTACAATTGAATGAGTTTCAACAAAAACTGAACATTATAACTTTCATGGAAATCTTGTTAATGTTATAACATTCGTTTAGGATACACATTATAACCTTGCAATTATATATATATGCCACTGATACTGAGGGAAATGTAAACACACAAGAGTAGAAACATCATAATAAAAACTCAGCAATAAAGTGAATGTCTAGTCACTAACACAACTACCTTAGAGAGCTGTGACAATAGACTATGTGCTAATAAGGGGTAATAATACAAAATATTGAAGTAATGCGAACATAAGGTCATTTACAGTACAGCCTTCTCAAAAAGGGAGAATTATTACTATGGATGATATAAATACAAATTGAAGATGGGAACAAATACTGCTAACTCAGCAAAGGATTACAAAAGTAAAATGGTGCAACAATTATTATTGATTCATTTTATGATGCCTTGCTATTGTTTAAACCGTATGGCCTTGTTTATTTTACATCGGCTTCCCATGTATGACTTTGAATAGACTTATTTTACATTAACATTCTTTTGTGTGTTCTTGCTGTGCAGGATCTCGATGAAAACACTGAGAGAGACTCGGATGAGGAGGAGGTCTATCAGGAAACTGATTGGGTTGATGTCACAGACGGATACAATCTTAAACCACAGAAAAAGGTGAATATGACACGTTTGGATGATTGTTAACTAGACTGATTATTAAATACTGACTTGTTAGTGAACCCATACCTGTTGAGAATCATGTTGTCTTATGAAAGAGGAGCGTAGTCTTTTCATATTGCTTTGTTGTGTAGCACAATATAAATGTTATGAACGCTTAGGATACACTGCGCACATTTGAACTGTTCCTTTTTCTTTTTTATTCAGTGGCCTTATCGATCTCAAACTATGTGCTGTAGCGTATGCAAGTACTCGTCACGAAACCTCTACAACTTCAGGAGCCACATCAGTCGCTGCCATGTATATCTGCAGTCCTTTTGTACGCTGGCACCTTGTTCCAAGTGCATCTTCATCGCACACCCCCAGGTAGTCATGAGACACATGCAGTACTTCCATTCCACCTGTATGAAACCGCAGAAGGAGGCCCCTCCAGCTGCCAAACATGGAAATGAGCGCTATTCTTGTCGCAGATGTGGATGGCCAGGCTCCTCCATATTTACGATGAAGAAGCACGTCATTCTCAAGCACCTGGACCAATTGTCCGAACAGTATATCGGTTACAGATTACACCCTAATGGGGCTAGTCAGCTAAAGGTCTACTGCTGCAAGGTGTGCAAAGTGAACACTGGAAACCTCGACCAAATGTTGCATCACATGCTGGTCGAGCCAACGCACTATACAGTCAGCTCACAGGTGCAGGCTCTGATTCATGAGAACAAGACGGTCAGCACCAAAGCAACGCCTAACGGGAATGGCATGTTTGTGACATTCCCAAACATTGCTCCTAAACCACAGCAGCCTCAAATGTTCAAAAATAATTCTTTGATTATCCCAAGTAACGGCCAACCTGGCAGGACGGTGGTGACATTACAGCAGTTACAAGCAGCTGCAAACAACGGTACTCTGATCTGCGCCCCCGGAACAAACCAAGCTTTTCTTCCCCCTCAAGCATCGGCTCTAGTGCAGCTAGCTAGCGCTGAAGCTAAAGGGTTGCTCCAGCCTGGTGCCACGATATCCCTCCGAAGTGCTTTGCCCCAAGGATCCAATATGGTCAATCTTCCAGCAATGTCTAACATGGCTATAGCTCCTGCTCCGCTGAAACAGACCGCACAAACGCAGCAAATCTTTATCCAGTCCGGACTGCAATCCAACGTGGCAGCTCAGACTGGAACTCAGCCTGCTCTGGTGACACAAAACACACCCGCAAACCAAATGACCCTGCAAGGCACCATGCTGACGTCAGAGTCCCTGCTGAGTCACCTTATCCCGACTGGCAACAAAATGAACGGCATGCCCACGTATACTTTTGCTCCCATGCAGGTAGCAAAGCCTGCCTCTCAGAGCACAAGCACCACCGCCAAGGCTGTTGAGCAAGCGAAAAACTCCACACCACAAACCAAGAAATGGATCACCTGTCCGCTCTGCAACGAACTCTTCCCCTCCAACGTCTTTGATATGCATACAGAGGTCGCCCACACGACTAAATCCGCCCCAGCCATCAAGTCAGAAAGTGTGGCGGCACGTGCAGCGTTCTTGAAGAAAATGCCTGACAAAACTGTCAAATGTCTAACATGCAAAATTCTGCTATCAGAAAAAAGCGTCTTCCAACACCTGCTGCATGGACTGAACTGTTTGTACTGCTCCGCTTTGTTCTTTTCAATCAAGCAGCTCGCTGAGCATGTGAAGCAGCACAATCCCACGGGCAAGGCATACTGTGATTTCCTAAGGCAGAAGTACAGAGTCTACTCTAAAGGTGTTGGAGGAATCCTGTTCCCCTACTTTGATGTCAACACCACAGCGCCTAGAGAGGTGCTAGGAGACAACGAGGTCAATCTAGCCCTCGTCACAAGTTCCCTCGACCTTATCTTCTTCAAGTTGCAGCCGAGCAGCCTGCCGGAAATCTGCTCGGCACCTGCGAAAATCAACAGCTCGTATTGTCCCTTCTGCGACGAAAAGTTTCAGAATGAATCCGATCACCTTCAGCACCTAAAGCAAAAACACTTGGTAGCCCCAACCATTCATGCCATCCTAAAGACGGAGGCTTTCAAATGCATATACTGCAACGGTGTGTATACGGGGAAGGTAACCCAGCAGGCGGTGATGCTTCACATTCAGCGGTGCCGGTGTTCACCAAAACAACCGCAGCCACCTAAACCCGCAGCAGCTCCATTGCAGCCGCCCAAACAAGTCCAGCAGCTCAGTCATCCGGTTTACTTTCTGCAAATGCCACAAGGGATGACTATGACGAAGAGTATAGCTCCAGCCCGTGTAATTCAGGCTGTCGCCCCTGCCCCCCCTGCCCCCCCTGCTGCCCCGGAGCACCCAGAGACGGAGGCAGAGCTGCAGTCTAAGAAGAGGCTGGAGACGGCATGGAGGGAGGTCATGGAGACAAACAAACGAGAGCGGGAACAAAGGGCGGCCATGCGAAGGAAGCAAGAGCAGGACAGGTTGCTGCCCCCGCCCGAGCCTGTGATTAAGATCGACCCCACAGTGAAGCTGGTGTTGGAGCCCACCGCCACCGACCGCCGCGACGGTGAGGAGCGCAAAGACTTCATTGGGAAGTACTTCAACGTGAACCCCTACGCATCCAAAACGGAGAGCGACGAGCTGTGCAAGAGGCTGTCCATCAGCAAGGCAGAGCTGGCGGCCTGCTTCAGCAAGAGGCGCAGCAAGTGCATGAAGAACCTCAAGAGGAACACTGCGGCCATTTTCCTCGGATTCAACATGACGGAGCTGAGAAAAACCAAGCACAATCTCCTGATCCCCAAACAGCAGCCGGCAGAGACCACAGAGCAACCGCACGCCGAAACAGAAAAGCGGCCGCCCACTGATTCAACAGAGCAGATGGAAAACAGTGAAGATGGACCAGAGCCGATGGTTGAAAGTGGAAAGGAGAAAGTTACTGATGTGGATGTGTTACCGGAGGTGGAGCCAATGGAAATGTAAAACACAGCTAATGCAGATTTCCCTTAATAATAAATTACAGAATAATTTAAAGATGGCCTATTGTGTTGACAGTCACTAGAGAAACTCAACATACAGTGCATATAATGTATTATCTAACAAACAAGTAACCTGTCAGTGAGGGCCGTCTCTTAATGTAGCCCACATTAGTAGTGCTTTGTTTGACTTCAGTATGTCGTCAGTGGTCCACATCCCAATTTCATCATAAAGGCAGAGAATATAACGATACAGATGAGTTGTCCGGGATCAAATGGTGTCAAACTGTTGTGCTGCAGCAGCTGGTTACAATCTGTTATTCAACAATGGCTACTGACTTCAAGTTGAGCACTGATTTTTTCCTGGGAGCTGCTTTTATTGGCACCCTTTTATTTATGCCCATTTGTATAAAATTGTGTTTCAATTCCACCATTGCTTGTCTGCTTAAAACAAGACTTAAGTGCAGACACTTTTAAGAGGACTTGGTTTATCTTTATACTATACCCTTTTTTTTAAAACATATTTGGACCTATTTGTGCATGTGCATTTTGTTTTTTTTCCTTGTTCGTTCACAGCACACCCCACTATTGTTTCTTGCTCACCAACTCCTGCAGATGGCAATTTTGAAACCCAATTCTCGAAAACTTTCTCGGTAAAACTCGGTAACTTGGTTATTATACAACTCTGGACATTTCACTTGCATGGGCCTATGTTTGATTGTCAGAGGAAATTAAGATGTGTGCCATTGTGTATTCTACATACTTGCGTAGACGTGTGGAATATTTACCTAGAGATATAAAACAAGCTAGTTGGTGTTCACCATATATCTTCTGTTCTCCTGACGGTGTTTTTTTTTTTGTACTACATGTGTATTTTCTATAATTCCTAGAGGCTCTAAAATGTTGGGAGAGTTACAAACTATCATTCTGTCCAAGACCACTGTGTTGTAACAAATAAAGTGGTATCATTTTGCGTAAATGATTCAGAGAATTGTTTTTTATTTTAATTTTATAATAAAACATATTTTGAATTTAACAGTGTTTAATTCAACAAGTTTGAACATGTGTATGAATGGCCTGGAATATCATTAAAAACGTCTCAATGCCTTGATCATCAAAAGGAGAATAACAGAAAATGGATGACGAGAGAGTCTCAAGGGTGTTTTGTTACTCAGTGTTTAATATTACCCTGAGTAATCTTGAAATATAACCAATTTCCCCAGTTTCGTACATGTTATCTTCCATTGTGATTGAATAAAATACAGTAATTGTTTTTAAAACAGCAACTGGAAATAAAAGATAAGGATACTATAGAGTGAATACATCACCACCTTCTGGACACATTGTGGTGCTGATTCATTTTCATATCTGATTCAGTTTTGACCTTAGAAATATTAGTTCAACAAAAATCCTCAGGGTGCAGTTACTAACTTTGTCCACAGTCGGTTAATTAAATCCCACAGTTTTTGCAATGTCATAATTTATAATCCTTCATTTATATGATATTATTATTTACATGGTTATGGTAATAATAAAGACTGGGAAATACAGGTCAAAAGCTCCAGAAACTTCTAGTAAGAGAAATTGGGAACCTAAAATATATTCTGTAATTTATCATGTTTTCAATTCTGCTACAAACATGAAGATTTGTAAACTGATCCAAATTTTAAGAATGTTAATGTTCAATCTTTACTTCGTGACTGTTGTGATTTGATCAAGTAAGGAGGGGCCGCTGTAGTTGTTGGTTTCAATGGCCTGCAGCCTCTTCAGGTAATCCACCGGGAGTCCGTTCTGTTCGGCTCCCAAACACACCACCTGATAAGAAACACATGCAGAGACACACTCTGTTACACATGTTCATTTAGTCACAAAACATTGCACTAAGTAAATTGGAATGTGTCACTCATTGCTGTTGTAGCTTAAAGGAATACTTCACCAAAATGGTCTTTTCTTGTAAATCAATTACTCACCCTGTGTCACTTTGCATTTTTAAAGAAAACTCTGTTGTTGGTACATGTTTCCATGGTAAACAAAGGACACTTAAAAAATGGGGGCCAGTCATATACTAATTTCGCTGAAACCATTTAATTAAAAAAAAAACGTCCACACTTACAGTTTCACGCCAACTCAGGCAACTTATCCCTGCATGTAATGTTTATGAAAAAGTGTAATATTTAGAAAGGTTTTCGTGAAAAATCTTCTTTGGAAAGTATTGAGCATTCACCTGAATAAATGAGATTCAGATTATACTGCATGAGTTGTGTGAGAAACAGATGTTATAATATAGTTGATCAGATGTTAAACACAGCCCCAAATTGATCATTTGTTCACCACGGAGGCATGGGGTAAAACAAACCTTTCTTCAAGAATTCAAAGTGAGTAATTGATGTGAAAATGATTGTGTTAGTGTGTTGTATGGCGCAATGGTTGTGTTTGCATGCACACACCTGTTTGTACTGAGGCGAGGGAGGGCAGGCGTGGAAATTGTTCATCTGATAAGTCCTGCACAGTAGGAGTCCTTTGTCAGTCTCTACTGAAACTTCAAGAGGAGAGTAATAGCTTTCATTCACCCCTTCCTGTCTGAGGACACAAAGAGAACAACCAGACTAGTTAGTTAAAAACACTACAATTAACTGACAAAAAGGCTGGGTTAATGAGTGTCTCACTTGTCCAGGCTCGGGAGGTTTTCGTTGCTCAAAGTCCAAATGACCCCCCACACCTCAGCCCCACGACAGGACTCAATGGTGGCCACTCCACCGTGCCAAATGTTGTCCACATATTTCTCGTACAGGCCAAAATTCAACTTATAGTCCTACACACACAGGGAGGGGTGATGGGGGCAGGAGTAAAAGGACAAAAGGCTGTGAACAGTGATGAGCCATTGTACATTTTGAACAACATGCATTTATGACACTGTGATGTAGAGAGATGTGCTATGTTTGTGTTTCCAGCAGTGTCCCCAGTAGATAATCACAGCATGTCCCGTTGTTACAGCTGATGCAAAAACTAGTCACATAATACAAAATGGACACAGTGTTCAAATAACTTATTTACATGTGGGAACATTCTGAAATAATCTATCAGGTCACTTTCAAAAGAAAAAGAGGCCTTTATGTAAGGTTGTTGGCAGTTGTACCCTCATTATTAACATGAGACTATTTTGTGAGATGTCCCGAGTTAAACGGGCACCTGTAAACAAACTATGAAATGTAAACCCAATTAGCTATAGAGAAACTGGGCTTTACTGTGTAAATAACCATCAGTAATTAAAATGATTTAAAACAACATGCTAAATAGTTTTTATTTCAATGTCCCCTCTTTAGCCCATGGTACATTCACGGACATTAAGCTAACACATGTGACAAGTCAATGCTGCATTCATGTCGTATAGGATAAACGACTATCATGGGTTAGACTCGTAAGCGTTTATATTATTGCGAGTGTAAATAAGTGTAGCCTAATCAGCATAACCAATGAATAGTTGAACGCTATGTGTATGTCATATTTGCTGCACAAACATTGCCACCTTAAGAATAGAACACACACAGTAGCTCGAAACCACTTAACGACCTACTGAATTGGCCAATTCCCACATTACTTGAACACGGTATTGGTAATGTTGATAAATGTGTTTGTTTTTTTTACCTTGAGTCGCCCGGTAGAGCAGAATATTGCCGTTGGGTTGGCCAGTTGCAATCTCTCCTTCAACAAATTACTTCCAAAAGCGAAATACATAAAGCGACCAGTTTTAATAACGGACATCGTTTTTATCCGTTGGTTCCCACCGGCTCGGTGAGACAGAAGTTAAGTTAAAACGTGATATTTGTTAAAATTACGTCGGTTTTCAAACGCTGTCCCTCAGGGTTACTGCTCCCCTCGCCGCCGTCATGCTGACTGACGGGTTTGTGAGCGGGCTGTAGCGGCGCTATTTAGACTGAAACGAGATATTTATTAACCCGGAAAGCCTTTTACCCATTTTAACTATAACACAACGTTTTTGAAAATACAGAAGAGGCAACATAACAAAAATAAATATAAATATATTTGAGGGTGGCCGGCTTATATAGATTACTTCCGGGTTAGATGGTGTACTCTGCATGTTCTGTTGCAAAGACAACCAACAAAAAAAGCCTCAGAATTGAAGTTCTACATAACCTTAAATATTCACTTAATATTTTTGCAAATTTCTATATATCCCTACCTCTATAAAAAAAATGCGCACAGCCCTCCACTTTAAACAATACTGCAGATTATCATATTAATTGTACTAGGGGTTTGTAGTTTCTTTATAATTTGTGTACATAATTATTTTTACATGTTAAATATGTATATTATTTTCATAAGTTACATTTTTTACCTTCTTACAACTTATTTCCTTGTGTTTGCACCACCATACACCAATCCAAATTCCTTGTATGTGTAAACGTACATGGAAAAACACTTGATTCTGATATTCAAACTTACAAGTTACCCCCAAAAGGTTTAGATTTGATTTAATACAAAAACGGTGCTGCATTCTTATGAGTACAGATAAGCCATAAGCAATTCAGCTTGTAAGGGTACAAACTCAACATGTGGATCATTTCAGTTAGTGTAGAATTTCTTTTCTCTGATCTTCACGAGATGAATACTCATTTGAATGCAAAGGTACTTTATTCAGTGTAATGAAAACATAATTTTTCGTAAACAAATCGAATGACAAACCAAAATAACCCCTGCTGCAAACGCTGCAATGACACACAGAGTCAGGTTTATCCTCCTCAAGGATTTTAATGTACAAAATAAGGAACAAAAAACAAAACAAAAAAACACATGGAAATTCACAAAATGTTTCTTCTGGAAAAAAAAAAGATTCCTGTACAAACAGAGGGGTGGGGGCCAGCAGACGTAAAGCCAGGTGATCATCTCCTCGGGCCGCCCCGGCCTCTTCCTCTTCCTCTGCCGCGGCCTCTTCCTCTGCCTCTTCCTCCCCGTCCGGCCACTGAGGAGAACACACAGGAGGGTCAAACACATGTGTCAAACATTCACCAACTTGTAAGGATAGCAGTATAGGAATCACATACTGATTATCAAGTCCATTTCGTATACAAAATATGTTAGGTCTGAAGCTGAGGGAAGAGTTTGCGAGAGACAAGCAACCAAAACACAAATAAGCCAGACAACTTAAACAAGCAAATTCAAAATAGATCTTCATCCATTTCAGAACACCTGCTTAAAATATCATAAATAAATGTGTCACGTCTGTCTTAACTATGTTTAGGACGAAAATGCCACCAAATGGAGCATTTTCACATCAAAAAAATGTTTAGGATTTCATTATTCCAGTTTCTTAGGAACCAATGAAGTACTCACTAACCAGAGAGCAGTCAAGCAAAAAATAAAATGGATGTTCGCCAAAGAATAATGACAAAGACTCATTGCTTAGGTCAACATTTAAAGGAGATCAGCTGTGGGTAATTAAGGTCTGTACATCAATATTTCAATAGAAAGATTGAGAAATCGCTCAGTCAGATTACACGATGGGTGGGGCTGGTCTGTTGCAATTTTAACCTGTTAAGCCCCAAGCCTGTTTTTCAGGTCTCGGGCTCGAAAATGACATGCCCAGAACAAATGACTATATCTTCACTTCTAAAAGGGGTAAATGAATAATCTTTTTTTCTCAAAGCAATAATAAACCTGTGAGTTGGATGTAGAAAAGTCTTGTTTCTTGTTTTCTTGCTCTGTTCTGGCTGCTAGCTCAGTGAGTTCTGGCCGTGCAGTCATAAGACTTATACCAATGGCATCTGTGGAATCTCAGCTTTCAGATGATATGTCGTTTGTGCAGATAATATGAAGTATAAAAGATCGTTTTTGCTAGTTATGACCGGAAGTAGCATTAGCCCGTTTTCGCTAAGGGCTCATTTAGAAGCCTCTTGTGAGAGTTATGTTTTGTTTCGGTAAAAATGGTTCGCATCGTCAGTTAGCTGAGTTTCTTCCTGTTAGGCTGGTATGACACATTCAGTTTTTTTTTTTTTTTTTTTTTAAATAAATGTTAAGAAGCCCTGAGACAGTTTCAGGAAAACAGGTTTGATATTTTGTCACACAGAGGACCGGCATTAAAAATGTTACCCTAGGCTAGTGGCATGGTTGGTCATGTTTATTATCAATCATGTTGACATCTTGCTCATTTATAATGCTATACAAGTTGGATTTAACACTGACACAGGTTGCTGATGAAGGCTGTTTTATTTATTTATAGAAAGACAAATGCTGAGTTAGTCTGCCTGCAAAAAAATCAAACTGGTTTAAGCCCAAACACACCCACAGAAAAGTCTGAATGTATAGAAACGTTGGTCCTTTGCAAATCCATCTGTAGACATGTCCTTTAACTTTAACACCCCCAATGCTCAGGAACAATATGAATACAAGATGAGGCCACACATAATGCTCCATCTCTCGTCTGAACACCTCAATGTTTCCACATTTCTCACCTGCTTCTCTCTTCTTTGACTTGACTTTAGGCTCGATGTCAACCAGCAAGGTGTCCAGTGGGAGGCTGTCGGGAAGGATGAAGTAGCGAATGTTGTTGCCACGGATACTCAGCGACTCCAGCTGAGTGGGCTCCCTGTTTTTCAGGGTCATTTTAACCGCCTTCAGGTGGGTGTTCATGCTCACATCGACACCTAAAATGGGGCAAAAGAAAGAAAACAAACCTTGAAGTTAACATGGACAAGTCAACACCCATTCTTATTTACAAAACCGAGAGGAAAGTACTACATGAAACCATAAAGTGATAATCAGAGTACAACTGTAGAAGCATATATTGTAATAACAATCCAACAGCTTTAAGTAGTTTAAAAACAACCATTTGTTCCTTAATAATTCCCTCTGTGCTACCTTGAATTCGAGAGGAAAGTGTGCATGGTTCCGCAGTGAACAAAGAATTAAACCTTGGGGAAGATTCTTAAATCAACTTAAGTAAATGAGTGCCTGTTTATCAACAGCAAAACTATCTTTAAAACACGTCTCACACTTGTAAAGGCGTGATAAACATCACAGAAAGTACAGTTTAAGCAGATGCGTTTCAAGAAGTACAATTTAGTAAGACTACATGCATTTGCGAAGTAATGAAATTAGATCATACTGCACAGGTTGTGTGAGCATTTGAAAAAGGTTGTTTTGATATAGTTAAGCTTTTATAGCATGGCCATTTTTCATTTAACTTTCTTTGTTAACTTACTGTTAAGACATGTTTAAAAGTTTGTTTTCAAGAATTCAAGCTTACACATTTCCGTAGTTGATATACAAATGATCATGTTGGGGGTGTTTTAAGTTCAACCAGGCCCTTTTAAAGCAGTTACAACAACTACAAAATAAAGCTTCAACGGAGGTACGATGTAAAGAAGCACTGTTGGATTGCCGTGCATTAATTTAGGGGAGGTAATCCTAATTAATTGGGTACTGGTTTTATATGTATTGTAACCTGTGGGAGAACAATGGATCAAATTAGTCTTAAATTGTGTCATGACGTTAATAACATATTTGACTGCAGGTTCAAAATGTGAAAAAACACAAGTTTCATGGTCGTCTTTCAATGTATACATTAACAATGTGTTAATATTTAACACATTGTAATAAAGCAGCAGATGGATCTTACCTGTGATTGTGCCATGGACCTGGGTGCCATTCTTCAGTTCAATGGTGACCGTCTCATGGCTGAGTTTCATCAAAAACCTGCGAGTAACAATAAAACAAGATTACAGTGTGAACACAGACCTTTAAGTTGAACATTGCCCTTTCTCTTTTGTTTAAGATTTATGTTAATTCACCGTTATACATCGTGTTAAACAAAAGACTAGCCTGAAGTTAGCTACAGTAACTAGCCAAAGTTAGCCACTGGCTGTGTAGCATTCAGCACCAAAACAAAAGTACTCTGCAGGGTGAGATTCACACTGCAAATCCACTCCTTTTCTTAGATAAGTAACATTAACAAACTAAATGCATTGTTGACTTTGGCTACGCTTTCAAAAATAATATCAGTGAATGCATTAAACTATAACTTTGCAAACAAATACAGTCCGGGCCTGTGAGCTAACACAAGCTAACCTTTATGTCGCTGTCTGATAAAGTTAATTAGTAAATATTGTTGCTATGATACCTGCAGGGTTTCACATTTAAATGCACGTTTGACTAGTTAGTTAAACACTACGCTTGTGAGTGTGTATTTTGAGTGAGTTTATTGTAGAGCCAGCAGTCATTGAACACCAAAGAACCTCCATTCATTCGGCTCTCTTCTTCTTCCCGCCTGATCTCAGTTAAACATCTATCTTCCTCCATCCGCCAGCTCCGCTTCGCTTTCATCGCCTCTCATCACAGCATTAGATAAACAGATATTTTTCACGATCACTTACCTGACGAGTTTCATGATTGTGATGGACTGTAGAGACAAATCCTCCACAAAAGGTAAAAATTACAGCAGTCGAGTGAAAACACAGGCCGCCGCTGTTGTATGCGTTACGTTTCAGGCGCGCTGATACGACGTCATCACAAGAGCGACAGCGAAGGTGGAAACTGCAAGAGAAAACAACAGCGCCGCGTGACGGTGGAGGAGAGAACATCATGAAAACCATGGAATAAGGAGGGTTTTTTTTAAACAAGTTTCAAGTTAAACTTTATCCTAGTTTCACTTGGAAATAATTTCTCATTATGTGAATTAAATCCTGAAACATGCTTTTATACAATACAGCTATATTTGCTTTAGCTTTAAAACCTCCAGACCTACGCGCTGTAGGTGAAATATATAAATGACTAAAAAACAAAAAAATCACCATCAAACCATAAAATAGGTAAAAATACAAATAAGAAGGTACAATTAAAATAATTAAATAATAACAGCCATGTAGTAAAAAATAATAGACAATTTAAAGCAACAATCTACAAAGTGCCATGCGCTAAAGAGAAAAGGTACCGGTAGGTCTAAATAAGCTTTACATTTAATGTTTTTAAGTCAAAGTCAGTCAAAGTCAAAGTCAGCTTTATTGTCAAAAATTCTACATGTGTTATACATCCAGAAATATCGAAATATCGTTTCCCGCAGTCCTACAGTGTGACATGTATACATAAAACAAAACAAAAAGGGCCTAGATAAACGGGGTATACATTTAAACAAAACAAAGAGCCTTTGTAGGAGCTGTGGAAAGATATTGATAAATGTATAGCAGGTTTGTCAGTGTTGTAGTTTAATATATATATATATATATATATATATATATATAGTTATAATACATATTGTTTAATTTTGACTGCAGCCCTGGCACGATGTTTTGAGATACATACTCAATGTTACTTTTTAGATGACTTATATGCAATGAACATACTGTTGTAATAAGTTTCTGATCATGTTTGGCATGGTACTACGAGTAGAAAATGACTGCAGATGGCAGCCGTACAGCTATAACACGTTAAGTTTATGATCTTATGAGATAATTCTCTCTTTCGCAGATTTTTGTTGATGGTTTTGGAAATCACCGTCACAGAAAGAAAAACATAGAGCGAGACACTTTCAGTTGTTTTTATTGAGAGTAAACTTTGCACTGACACTTTCATTTACAGTTTTGGCCACACATCAAACCTCTCTTATGGACTGACTGGGAATGTATCAAGTATAATCTATGAAGTGCAATTTCTTTTTTTCAAACTCTGTAGTGGTTGGTTGAGGAATCTTTAAAATATAAACATTATTTATGGAGTACAAAATGGCACAGGACCATTCCCTTGACCCCATACATCCAATTCTTAAATCAAGAAAATTTAAAAGGAAAATATCATCATAATAATAAAAGCCACCCTCATCAGTCCTCCACATCTTGCACTGGATTAGTGCAACACATCGACAGCATGCCTGTGCAAATTAAAAGACCCCAGTCTCTTCCAATGTGTATCCTGGTGCAACAATGCAACCTAAAATAAATGTTGATTAAACCATTCCTCGGGAAACAATGTTGAAATGTTCTGGGTGACACCAGCTCTCCTCACATAATGAAATGTCTCTGTCAACACCTTCACAGTTTAGAGAGGAAAAGGTGATATTTTAGGGTTTTGTGTCACGTCATGGAGCACTCCAGACCTCAAACAAGCTTAAAACTCAAACTCTCCATTATAAGTTATGCCTTTTTGATTGCATATCACACTCTGTTTTCAACAAAATCAGGATATCTTTACATAAGCGTGTCCTGCCGTGAAAGTATGATTAAAAACACTCCATTTTCATTTCAGTCCCAAGAGCACCAGATCATATCTCAACACAACAGGCAGTGTTTAGTTCTCGTGTAAACATTACAGTTGGGCAATAAAGTTTTAAGATAGAAGTTTAAAGTGACAACCCAGGTCTCAGAGTGCTACTTGGCTTTTCAAGAAAAGTCAAAGGCTAACTACATTTGAACAACGTTGAGATCAAAGGATTTGTTAAATCTAGGGGAAACTCTGAAATAATTTGACTTAGTGTCATAGCAGTTTTTCTCCGGGGATAAGGTAAAATATAATAAATCTCAGGTTTGAGGATAAATAAAACGAATGTGCATCTCAGTGTACGGCAGCAGCCACAGTGGTGTGTTTAGCATGTTTCAAAAGTAATGACACTAATAAATACCAACAAATAAACAAATACGACTCGAACAAAAAAGGCACACAGACCCAACGACTCAGGTCTTAACTGGAAAGAAATCATCTCTATGATTAGGAATAAGGAAATTAAAAAAAATAGGATAAATGACAGTAAAAACCCAACCCATTTCCCATCTCTAAACAGCACACCGTACTCGTCATCAGTAGTGGAATAGATATGATCAAAACAACTAGACGAGTGTTTCCATGAACAATATTGTCTGATTGCTTTGGCTCAATGAACAAAGTGTAGTCGTCTCCTCTCAATTACACTTTTTAATATGTCGTTTAGTCATTTTTATAAAAGCTTTTTTAAGACTGAATGACTCTTAAACGCATCTGTGGTTAAAAGGGTTGCTTTTGCATGATTATCTATGGAAAACTCAATTCTACAGATGTTGATTAAATGAACTAATCAACAAGTCGACAACATCATAAGACTGTTGACAAAGAATTTCTTTAGTCTTTACTGACTTGATATATTTTACTTTTCAACATAAAAAGGCGTTTGAATATGTGACTCACTGTAGTGTCAGACTCTAGACTTAAATTACAGCATCTTAGTTTAATCAATTATTTTTTAAATTAGAAAAATATATTTATATGATGATGCTGTAAAACTGAATTGTCCGTAATGTATTCCATGTCAACTTTGACGCAAAAAATCATTATAATATATAATTGTAATTATACACATTGAAAACTGAGCCAAAGCAGGTGTTAAAAACAGAACTGTGAATGAAAGGTAATTTGTGATAAAGACAAATAGGGGGTTCAACAACTTTCAAACAAAAAGCAGAGACGAGTGTATCATGGTTCCTTGCAGCCTACCAAACAGCAGCAGTGTGTTGGCTCCCTAACAAAGCAGGCACAGTGTGCAAGAAGGTCCAAACATCAGAACCAGGCCCTCTGATTGTACAGTACGCTCAACCAGCTCCAAGGTTACATCATATTTGGCTGAAGGAGGCTCGTGGTTGGGTCGGTGTGACAATAATAAAAGGTGTGAGAATATGAGGCAAGTTTGGATTTCAGCATGATCAGCACCAAAACTTCACCCTGAACAAACAGAGAAGAAAACTACAGGGAATAAATAAAGGAAGAAAACATGTGCAGCATTTTATGTGTTATGATATCAGTAGCTTTCCATTGATGTACTTTTCAATTCAACACTAATAGTGTGTCTGTTTTAGAGCAGACAAAAGCACTTTAAAAATAAAAAAGTGAAATCAAACTGCATATGACATCATCGTAACTGAAGAAAGTCCGCAGGGTTTTGTGTCCTCTCTAGATACAGTATAATACACACAGTAAACACTCCTAAGAACATCTTTCATTGAGGCATCGCCATTATTTCTCATGTTTTCCGCAGTCTTTGACTTTCTTCCACCTCTCTTTGTCTTAACCTTCTCTCTCCACGTTGTTCTGTCACACTAGGTGCACTTGTTCCTCCCACTCCTCAGGCGACTGCTCCCCCTCTAACTGAAGGACGAGGTCTAAGTCTCTCTCTGTGTCCGGGGCAGTGTGTGCGGGACTGTCTCCACGTTGGGAGTGTGAGCACGGGTGTGTGTGCGCTTCGTCCAGCGACAGGTCAGCCACACACCCTGCGTCCACCCCCTCCTCTCCAGTCGCTCTGCTGTCGAGCTCCAGAGTGCTGGGCCTCGACGTCGTCGGGACCTCCGCTCCCGCAGCACCCAGACGAGGACTCCCCCCCGCCCCCGTCCACTGGCCCGCCCTCCAGGGGCAGCCAGACAGGGGCGGGGTCCCTGGAGGCCTCTGACTCAGTCTCAGTGTGTGTGTCGGGGGAGGAGTCTGTCTCTGTGGTGGGCGGAGAGGGGATGAGGGCGAGGCTCTGCGGGTTGTTCTGGGGGTTGATGTTGTTGTTGAACCAGGCCATGATGTTGTCCAGCAGCTGGGCGCTGGCTGTGGGGTCCAGCGGCTCCAGACTCTGCGGGTCGCTGGGGGTGAACGCCCCCCCCGGAGGGATCACCGGGGAGAGCATCAGCTCCGGCTCGAGCTCTGGAGACGGGAGGCACAACAGGGTGGGCGGCACTGGGTCTGATTTGGGGCGTTCAAGAGCGTAGGTGGTGGGACGCTCCTGAGAGTAAGAGCTGCTGTGTTCAGGGCCCGGGGCGTAAGAGCTGTCTGGTGCTGGGGCGCTGTCGTACAAGGCTGCGTGTTCCCGGCTACAGGAGCTAGGACGGGAGGGGTTTTGGGCGCGTTCATGTGCGCGTTCATGTGAGAGTGCATGTGCGCGTTCATGTGAGCGTTCATGTGAGCGTTCATGTGAGCGTTCATGTGAGCAGGAGGCCGCGCGTTCAGCCTCCGATAAATAAGCACTGGTGTGGCAGTAGGCGGGGTTTGAGATGGTGATGTGGTCGAGCCGGTACGCAGCGGGCAGCTCCGCTCTGTGGCTGCAGTCGCTGTACGCAGGGTCGCTGTAGGGAGCAGCGCTGTGGGTGTATGTGTGGAGAGAGCACAGCTGCTCCTGAGTGTGTGTGTCGAGGTCATAAGGAGTGGTTATGTTCCCCAGTTTCATAAGGCTGTCTCCCAGCTCCAGCAGCTCTGCACTGAGGCAGGGAGGCGGGGGCGGGAGGGGGAGGGAGTTGGACGCGGGAGGCTGGGAGGTGGAGTCTGTCCTGTTAGGGGGTCGAGGGGGGTCCAGGAGCGACGTGGGGAAGCCTCTGGCTCCTGGAGGACCGTCCGTGTTGAGGGAGTGCAAAGAAATGTCCCCCAAGTCTCCTGCGTGACCCGGCCTCCTCTCCAGCTCCACCCTCCCCAGCTCCACCCTCCCCAGCTCCACCCTCCCCAGCTCCACCCTCCCCAGCTCCATGCCTCCCTCCAGGCCTCTCTCTCTGCGGGACTCCTGTAGGGACAGCTGGATGGCGAGCAGGATGTTCGGATCGTCTTCATCCAGCGAGCCCAGCGCTCTCCGGCGGCCCTCACTCCTCTCTGGACCTTCTGGAACAAAAAAAATCACATTTAGATTAAACTGAAAGAATAGGATTTCATGGTTATAGTGAACAGGTTTATCACTGTTAGCACCTATTCTGACAGGCCTTATTCATTAAGATGAATTATGGTTTATTTATAGAAAATTATAAAACTTTGATCATGATTTTTTGTCGTACAATTTGATTATATTTCATGTCAGGTTATTTTACTACTTTAACTAGTTTTATTGCATTTCATTATATTATATAATATAAAAAATAATTGTATTTCTCAAATTTTGGTTTCAGAATTTTTTAAAAGGCCAAACTTGATCCGTCTTATTTCAGCTTGTCTGTCACGTGTAAAGCACTTTGAACTGCACTAACCTGTATGAAAGGTGCTATACAAATAAAGTTGGATGGATTCATGTAAATATATGAATAGGAACACATTTCAATACCTGACGTAGTCCTTTTAGAAAACCCACAAACCCATGTGCAGGTCAGTATTTGCCTTAAGTGTTTGAAACCACAGCATTCAAACACAGATATAAAAACATTTATACAAATTTGAAACAGTAATATTAACCATCTGGAATATTTTTTACCTAGGTTCATCGTGAAACTGGTATCCATTGCTGCCTACTCGCTTTAACACAAGGACTGCTTTGTGATCACGTGATCAATGCCTCCGTGCGCTTCGACAAGACCAGAGTAATGGAACATTTAAATCCCATTTTCTATTTGTCTACCGTGCTGACAAGTGAAAATGTATAAAAGGAGACGAAGGATGAAGCTGGATTACGACCCAGAGTTCTTGCACTGTACGTCATTTAAATGAAGATGCTGCTCTTTCACTTAATGGTAAAAGACTTGGTGCCAAAATAATGAATGCATTGTTATTTCTTACTATTGGTAGTTTACAAGAAGTACCTTGAAACATCATAATGATATCTTATGAACTGAAACACACTTCTCTCAAATAATCTGACCACAACCCAAAACCGAATAAGCTGTAAAGAAAATGTAAAATGGCCATAAAGGAAAACTTACATAGTACCATGTGATGTAATACTTGTTATGATCAAAATAATAAGAGCATGTTGACAGCCAGCTAATGTTGATTGGATTGTCTGCACTTGTTATTGTATCTTGTGGTGTTGGTGTTATACTGGAGGACCACCATGGGAAGAACCCTCCAGGCTTTATTGGGTTTTCATCCTCTGTGATTTTTAATGTATATATTTATTGACTGCAGTGAAGTGATGTATGGGTTTTAATCAGTAAGTAAAATAAATCAATAAATCTATGCTATCTATAGAGTGCAACCATTTTTTTTATCTACAGTAAATCCTGGGGCAGACCTGTGCTGTCGCTCCTCCGGCTCGTCTCCGGCGTGTTGCTGCTGCTCCTCAGGTTGTGCAGACTCAGCATGTCTCCTCTGCGCCGCGGTCGGTGTCGGCGTCGGTACTGGATGTCAGCGTAATCCTGCAGAGAGGGATTCAAGCTGGGTTACCACAAAACCAACTCTAAAAGTAAGTCTGTTTAAGGTTCACAATCCTCAGCACAGAGAACAGCCTGTAGCCCATGCATTTAGTACCGTGTGGTGCTTTACCTGTGACTGTCTCTCTCTTTGATCTCCCGCTCCCAGTACAGAGTGACGACTCCCCATCTTCACACACATAAGTAACACATGAGTAAAGTGAGTTACCTGCAGCCGTAATCATGCAGAATGAATAGAAAAAAGCTGCACAGCATTTGGTTTAGAAGACACACGTCAATGTTATGAATGACGCCTAGAACTTGGAACTTTAATGAAACAGTTTACCTCAGGTGAAGCAAAGCCGAGATACTCCCAATCCCATGATCCTCCAGGGTAACTGAAACAAACACACGTGAAGGAGGTATTAATGTTCAGTTTGAATTCACATATTTAACACTTTGTATTTCAGTGTTTGGGTGTGTGCGAGTGTGTTTGTCATTACTTCCTGCGGGGAGGGTCCGGAGAATCGTTGGGAGCGACGCCTCGGGCCACTGACGCCAGGAACTCCTGCCTCTTCTGCTGCACCAGACGGGCCGCGCTGATGATCTTGTGGCAGGGAGTCCTCAGGTACGGCCGGTTCACCTTCTGAGCCAGATCCTCCACAACCATCTCCAGGTCCGTCTGACAAGAAACAACTTGTTAACTTTCACCGGCTCAGAGATCTGCCACTGATATTTGAAGTGACGAGATATAAGCTGACTATGTTTTGAGTATTCTTTTTCTTACAGGATATTTCATTCAGTTTAAAGCCTGAACAGTGTTTGATAAATAGAGGGATTGGACCACTGGTGATTCAGATATTTGCAACGATCTGCTCTGCTTTACTGTACTTTATATCAATCACTCCTACCGTAAAAGTCTGTATGACTGAAGAATCGTAAAGCTACTGCAGGTCAACCAAGTTATGAAAAAGATGTGGGATAAGTATTTAAAGTACAATAAAAATACTTCTACATACATCACGTTGCAAATGACATTTCTTCTTTTGAGAACACAGAAAAATAAGATAAGACATTTACACAGGAGCCCAAACTGCTTTGTGCAAAATGTCTTGAGCTGCAAAGATTTATCCACTAATCATTTTCTATTAAAGTATTTTGCCAACTATTATGAAACAAGTCATTGGCGATATCCCTTCAAATGTGTGAAGAATATTAAACAAACAGGAAGCAGATATGTAAATACAGTATCGAAACAACTACAGGGGGATTTCCTGTGAATAATCGTATGGATATTCATAGCCTTTAGGGAAGAATAATGATTTTGTTGACCCCTTGAACGGTCTCCTACCATCACCAACAGGCCAAAATACAAATCTGTGTATTAGACATACAAAACCCCAATGGTCAGACTGCCAGAAAATTATTAAAAATTACCGTGTGTGTGTGACCTAACAAGTTAAGCCAACCTCTTCTAAATAACACAGCCGTCTTTAGGGCTGACTGGAGGGGCTTTAAAGTGGTTATTCCTGTTCATGTCACAGATGTGTTTTAGATTACCTGCATGAGCTCAAATATCTCTTTCTGGGTGCTGCCTGGCTGCAGGAAGAAGCCATAAGGGTAAGAGCACTTCAGGACCCGCCGTGTCTTCAGCAGCTCACACACACCGTCCTCAATGAACCGTGTGTCCGGAGGAGTGCCTTCACCTAAACAGAACGAGCCATTATTATAATGCAGATAGGATTCATGCTTTATACATAATGAATTAAACCCAATCGCATAAAAGACAGACTTACGGCAGATGAAGGCTCTGCTCAGCTGCTCCATCTTCTCTTTAGCTGTTTTTAGTAGTTTCTGCTCCAACTACCAGATGGGAGAACACATGTCCAATATTTAATGATCATCAGATTGAGATGTGTTTTATATGAAGTGTTATGTGTGGAGAGTATATTACCTTATAACTGTGTTCATGGTTCTTGAAGCGAGTATAATAGTGCATGAAACGATCCAGCTCCTGAAAACTTTTGTGCTTCTTTTCTGCCTGTAACAAAAAGCAGCTCCATTTCACTCAAATGGCTTAGTGTGTGACTTCATTAAATGCTGTAGGGCACGAGAACATGAGCTTCAATAATATGATTCATCTGACAGCTGATGGAGTAGGGTAAAAGTGTGAGAAGGTAAGAGCATGTCTGTGTGAATATATTTGGTAGGGTTTGTACAGCTTTTCAAGAGTAAAAATCAAACCTATTTCAACAATTGCCAGACTCAAAAAACCTTAACCATAATTGTTTTAATGACCTTTCGAAGAAAACAAAGATTACTCCGTTCCTTTATACCTGCAGCAATTAATGTATATTGTCACTTTGTTTATTTTTACCAGATGATCATAGATGATTAAATGCTTATCTGGCTTTGTGAGACGCAAGAAGACAACAAACAAATATGAAAACAGGATGGTTTCATTTAAAATGTTAAAGATTACATAATTATGTGTATATTGAAATTCAAGCACATTACTAGCATTTTCAAAACAAGACTTTTGTACAAACCCTCTGTTATGGGCAGTCATTGAGGGTGTGTGTGCTAATACCTCCACAGTCATCTCCTTGGACTGCTCCTCGATCTGCTGGATGACCTCATAGCGGGTGCAGCGATAATAGCCTCCGGTCGACGAGCTGTGCTTCTTCCACTCCTCCAGACATATCCAGCAGAAGTCATACTTACACTGCAGAGAGGGGGAGCAGAGTTACAAACAGACCACATTACAGAATTCAAGTTTACATTAAACCTATAATGATTAATAGTTTGTGGATCGACCTCAGTCTCTGTACACATGATGACACACATGAGGACACACAGCTGACAGACATGTGTATACCTTGGCACACTGCATATGGTTGCAGCCCTCATTCTTCTGAATGGGAGACTTGCAGTTGGCACAGGGTTTTGAGTTGGTCAACAGCCACAGGCAGTTAGCAGCATCCTCAAAAGCCTCACTCACACCTGCCACTGTGGAAAATGCACACAAGCACACACACAAACACACGCATACACAAACGCACACACTCATTAGCAACAATTGACCAGCACCTGTCCTCAGATACACCCTCCAACACAAACAAATATCAATGACCTGAACACCTGCCACTGTGTTTTAAAACGATATTAGACACATACTGTTAACTGCCTTGTTGTTGTGCCAGTGCACGGAGGGGTAGCTAAAACGATCCCGGGTAACACAACACAGTAAAACAACACACAAAGCAGGAACAGACTTACACTCCTCAGGCCTCATCTCTGTGACCTTCTGGAGCCAGTTCCTCCACATCTGACAGTCACATGGCTCATGGGCCTCACCAAGACATTCCCTGCAGGGAGGGAGGGCGATCAAAAGGGAATTAGATACAGTAAAATAAGATTTGAGACTTAAACCGCATGACAACTGGTCAATCATTCATAGAAAAAGAAGCATAATGAGAAGAGAGAAGACAAAGAAGGCACTGAAGAGGTTTTTAATAAGGTGGCTGCACAGGATTTTAGGTCAGCACAGTGGCTTCTTCTTACAGCTGTGTTGAGTGTGCAAGTATGAATACACAGACAATAAATCATGAAGTGTACAAGCAGTAGTGTTATTTTTGTGAGCTAATTTTCTTTATTTAGTCTTAATTCTGTGTCATTGTTAGTATTTAGCACAGTCTACCTCATGTTCTCCTTTAAAATAAGTTGTATTTGACTTATGTCTGGGTATGATAGTCAAAGGAAAGTTGAAGCATTTTAAGTTTTAGTAAATGGTTAAGCCCGCGTCACACGGTCCCGAAATATGGAATTGTGAATTTCGCACAAAGATGGCCCCGAACTTGGTCAACAGCCAAGCAACAGCCGAAGCAAGTACGATGCCTACAGAAGGCCACACGATGGCACCCGAACCACACACGAAAATATGGTCGTAGACTTTACTGATGATTTAGAATGTATCCAGACTCAACGCAAGAGCTTGTGCCTCTTCGGGGGGTGCTAACATTTAAGCATACACTTTATTCTTTACTTTCTCCGTCTTTATATCTAGATTAGAAGATATTACTTATCTCCGTCATGTTGTTTGCATAGCAACAACAACTTCCTGTCAACAGCGTAGACTCGCCTTCAAAATAAAAGCATCTAAATAAAACAGGAAGTTGTTTTACCTAAATTACATTTAAGACATACAACTGCAACGAAAGTAACAAAAACAATGTCATATCCTTTTCAGTTTCACAGAACACAAATTGGGTTATTTACATAATATGTTTACATGATTTTGTTGTGCAATAAATGCAATCTCGATGTCATCGTACTATAATAGGATGGCTACACGACGGCATTGCGAGGGCTTCACGTAGTCGTGTTGCCTTCCTAAGACAATCGGGCAGCTTCTTGTTTCCTTCGTATTGTCTTCGTGAGGCGAAAAATGCCCGATGGCACCGATGATCAGACGAAGATGACACGATTTGACAAGATGCCCTCACGAGTGCCTTACGAAGGGCAAAATGGACACACGAATTCAACACGAAAATGAACCTTCATTCCTGCAAGGTCCTTCGGCAATTTTTTGGCATGCCAAAGATTTTGCCACCGCTCACGAAGTTACTGCCGGAGCCTGAGAAACTCCACCGGCAGTCATACGATGGCTTAAGATGCCCTCACGAATGGCCCGATGTTACGATCAGAGCCGAATTTGAACATTTCCTTTATCGCGTGTCCATCTGGTGTCAATTTCGGGACAGTGTGACAGGGGCTTTAACATTGGCACAAAAATACAGAACAAATATTGAAATATGACAAATAATGACTAATAGTTAACTCCGTATCATATCTTAAATCATATTGTACTGTATCTTATTCTCTTTTGATGTCTATTTTAGTCATCAGATTATATAGAACCTAGGTATTGAACTTATTTTTGGTTTAATCTGGTTTCTTTTCCCCTAGCCATAACTAAACTAAACACGAGTAACTCTAACCCTCCTGACTGTGATCATTGTGTGCTTGCGCTGTAGTTGTCGTCATCGTCTTGTCTCAATCATGGGATAAAAAGGTTGTTGATGACATAAATAGTCATAGTTCAGGTTAGGAAATGAGCACTGACCAGCAGAAGAGGTGACCCTTGCCACAATCCACAGCTGGGGAGGGCAGCAGGGGGAAACTGTGAGGGTCGCTGTCCCCGGGGCCCGGTCGGGTGAGACGCACCGCCCGCTCACAACGAGCCGCAGGACACCATCGGATGGCAGGATTGTTCTCCACAAATGCCTGCAACAGGGACAGAGGAGAGGGGAGAGAGATTAGAGAAAGGATGAGGAAGCAGAACACATACAGACAGGAGGGAAAGCACAGAGCAGAAGTGATTGGGAAATGCCCAAAACAGGCATAAACAAACTAAATATTAAGGGACAAAAACATACACAAAATGTTACAGTGTTGGAGAAACATCCCTTCAGCTGTGGAGAGCCTTAACAAAGCATGAACTTCAATGTCTGTATGAGGGTTTTTCTTTTACCTTGATGTCAAACTGTAGATATCTCTGGTCCATCTCTCTGGAAACGACACTCTCTATCACATGCACCGGCACCAACTGGTAGCACTCATATGCCGGGCAGAAGATATTGTGAGCGTCGCCCTCCTGAATCTTCACGTTGAGGAACCTGATAAGCACACAAACAGGAAAATTAGTTAAAAAAAAAATCCTCAAAAACATTGCAGAACGCAGGAACATTTACACACAAACACAGGTCCCTACCCTTCCCAGCATGCTCTGCAGAACTCGTGTCCACAGGACATGTCCACTGGATCCTCAAACACAGAGATGGAGCAGAGGCAGATTCCACACTGCAGGGAGAGAGAAGATAAACACACCATATTCAAATGTTGTCTGACACTTAATGATATCACAATGATAGCTTAAAAAACGACTATGTATATTCTATTAACTTTAATACTTTGCCGTGTTGTCTTTGTAATCATTAAAAGCAATACAACACACCTGCATTAAATCCCTCCTTTGTTTGGATTGGATTTGATTATTTCCACCGTGTTGTAATAATATGGCCATCCAATAATCGTATGCCTATTTTCCCAAAGATTTAGTTGAAATAATTTTTGGAATTGGATTTAAGTCTGACATGCTGATTCTGATTTTCTTTCTTTATAAGAACTATAATTGACAGCAAAAACAAACATTTGGATACATTTTCTTTAATTGGAGTCTTCTTTAAGTTTGTTCATCAAAATATAAAAAAAACTAATTAAAGGTAGGGTAGGTAAGTTTGAGAAACCGGCTCGATATCGCTAGAATTTGAAAATACACAACCGGAGAAAATCTGCCACTTGCTTACAGAGCCCCTCCTCCAACACACACGAATGCGCACATGACCAATGAGGGCACGAGATAAGTTTGTGCCCCGATGGAAGGCTGACAGGCAGGTAGGCCATCCAGTTATTTTAGCTGGGCCGGCTAAAATGATTGGTCGTGCTTTTTACAGTACTACGGCTTCCACAGATGACATTTTTTTAATGGATTTTTTGTCAAAGCACTTAAGATATTCATTGCTATCGGGATGTTAAGAGCATTCCATGGAATATAACAACAAATGTATCTCGAGCCGGTTTCTCAAACCTACCTACCCTACCTTTAATTCACTTAAATATCATTGTCCACAGCTTATTTTGGGCTTTCAGGGGTTACACTTATTATTCCAACAAGAAAATATGATTGATTTCATCACTGTGTGTCTCACCGAAGCCAGGCCCTCCTCTCCCGGTGAGAGGCAGCTGTCGGTCGGGGAGGTGAGGGTGAGTGTGAGGGGGGAGCGCGGGGTCCTGGGGGTGCGAGGCGAGGGTAGGGTGTCCCAGGCGTTGTACCCGCTGGGTGGGGGGGTGGGCATGGTCACACCTGAGCGCTGGCAGCAGCCCTCGGCGTCCGACATCCAGGCCTCCAGAAGCTTCTCTCTGTCCCAGTCTGAGAGAGAGGTTGAACACACATTGAGCGGCAGGGAATGTGGATGTCATTCTCTTGAAATAGTGCAATGACAACGAGAGCTGAGAGGGTTTGTGAAGGTCTCATGAATGTCAACTTCCACACACCATGTGCACGGAGCAGGGCCTCAGCAGTGAAGAGCGGGGCTTGAAGCATGTCTGCCGTCTCTACGATCAGCATGTCCTTCAGCCTGCGCAGGTCCTGCAGCTTCAGTCCCTCATACGGCTGAAATGAAAGGGAGATGCAAAGAGAAATGGAAGAAGAAAGGTAGAAAGGAGAGAAAGCAAAGTGAAGAAACAGAAGATGGGGACGAGACAGAAAGAAAAAGGTGAAAAGTATGAGATTGAGATGTGTTCAAAGAAGTATAAAAAAGATAATGAGAGGAAAATGAAAAGGACAGGGACATGGGGAAGCACAAGGGTTGTGGTGGTGGGGAGAAAAACAGATTAAGTATTAGCATAGATTTGGCTGCAGGAAGGAAGATCAAACTGCTATCAGCTGGCAGCTGGCAGGCTCGGCTGGTGCCCTCCGCTACACTCACATCCCGAGCAACAAGAAGTGAGGAGTGTGTGTGTGTGTTTACTGGTGCTACTACACTGAACATGTAATATTTATTCGTCTATATCACATGTCTAGTGTCTGTATCATAATCCCTTCTGTAAAACTCAAATTGAAAAACATAACAATAATCATACATGCTACATTAGAGGAACACACAGACTGATGCCGCAACTGTGAAAAAACACTGAGTTGAAGAAGATACACATCCTTAGAAGGAATATAAATATCATATCTATTTTTAAAAGTCTAGCCATCAGGAAACCCCCAGATCTTGTCTCACCTCCTTGAATTGCAGCAGGTTGGTTTCACCGTCTGTGTTTGACGGCTGAGCTGAAGAGGAGGAGAAAACCATCTGCGACTCCAGGCTGAGGGCCAGCTCGGTGTGGTGATGCCGCTCCGCGTGGTCACACGGCGTCAACTTGTCCTCATCCTCCACAAAAAGGTCTGCCTCGCTCTGGATTAAGAGCTACAGGGAGGGAAGAGGGGGGAGAAGGGGGAGAACAAAAGGAATGGGAGAAAAGGGAGAAACATTTTTAACGGAGAGGAACAAGAAATTGCAACAAAAGAGAACAAAGAGAGCGAGAGGCAATCGAACAAAGGAGGAAGGGGATGGGAGAGAAAGTTGTGATGGCAGAAAAACAAAAAGAGAGAAAGGTGAGTAGACGGTGACAAGTGAAAGCAGAAGGGGAAATATAACAAGCAGAGAAAAAGGAGCAAAAACAACAAAAGCTAAATTGAAGTTAAGTCAAATGGAGAAAGTTTGAGGCACAGGCAGAGGGGTTATGGTTAGGGAGAGAAATGTGTTCAAACTTTTTATCTTAAAAGGATAATATCTGGGTTACAGTTCCGTAGGCCGCCCATATCAGAGTTAATTTTCTTTCAATTCAGCTTTGGATTTTTTCTTAATATAAAAGCTGTAGAATCTTGAGAAACGGGAGGAAGCAGAGCTCGGATCTGACAGTAACGAAACACAGAGCAGATGTTCCTGTAGCAAGAACTGGCATATGGCTGCCTAGAGACTCTGTTGACTGGAAAATCAAATCCAATCACACAGCACTTAGAAGAGATTTGCCGAACAGAAAACAAAGCTCCTCCTCATGCTAGCTCCAGGATGGAGGTCCACACTCTCTCTCTCTCTCTCACCTCCACACAGCTCTTCATGCCTGCCGCGGCGGCGTAGTGCAAACATGTGCTGTGGTGATTATCGCTGGCGTTGACTTTGGCCTTCTCGTACTGGCATCCATCGAGCCTGGCGCCGGTCCAGCTCAGGATCATCTGCCAACGGGGGAACCCAGAAATTCAGAGACACAACATTTGGTTGATACTTTTTTTTTCCACTTCAACAATTAGTTGCCTGTTTGTACCTGCAGGCAGTCGGCGCGGCGCTGCTCGTCCCGCTGCGGTCGGGCCAGTCGCGGCGACAGCGCCCCCTCTGGCAGCAGCAGGATCTGCGGGCCTTGGCAAAGCACGTGGAGGCACGTCTCGTTGTGCACGTTACACTTGTTGGGGTTCCCCTCTTTACTGAACAGGAAAGACCTATACAATGCAAACAAGAAAGAAGGGATGACAAAATTGAGGACAGCTTTTTAAGCAAAAGATTAAGGTCTTTTGTGCGGCACTGATTTCCCCAACTTAAACATTTCCGGACTCTCGACACCTTTATCATCACAATTCAATTGGTACTATAAATGCAATAGCAAAACAGTTTACAGAATTATTTTCTACCTACAGCAATCATTGTATATTGTCACTGTTTGTTTGACCTATTATTATTGCATGTATTGATTGTGATTTCAATGTGCTAAGCTAGCTGTAGTTCTCAACTGATGTGATAAAACAACAAATATCATTACGGGACTGTTTCCTTTCAAATATTTAAATAGACTTTTGCTTTACATGAGTGATTGTTTAGGTGCTACATTTTGAACATAATCTGGTATGTTTAAAATACCTTATAACGTAACGGAAAATGACATACACCTTAGGCCGCACTATGTATCAATATGTGGAGTAGCATGGTTGCTTAGACAGGAAAACATATTTACTTCCTGTTGGAGGTTTAACTTGTAATGTGTACATTTGCCCAGAGAAGCACACTTAAGAGAGAGGCAGAAGTGGAGGGAGGGGTGAATGGAGACACGAAGATGATGTTTGGAAGGGAGATGGATTGTGAGATTAGCAGTAAAGAGAGGAAGGAGAAGAAAGATGGCAGAATATTGACTATTCCTGTTTAACATCTCTGAGATAATGGACATCCTGGCCACACACACACACACACACACACACACCACACACACACACCCACACACACACACACACACACACACACACACACACACACACACACACCACACACACACACACACACACACACACACACACACAACACACACACACACACACACACACACACACACACACACACACACCACACACACACACACACACACACACACCCACCACACACACACCACACACACACACACACACACACACACACACACACACACACACACACACACACACACACAATCTTCAAAATCATTTTCCTATATTTTATACAGCTGCATGTGAACCTGTAGAAGAAACCCTGCATATTTGTATCAGAGTTATAACAAAAACATTTGACAAGACCTTGTCACTAATGATAGTTCAACTAAAGAGAACACAGTAAAGGATGTCATGGGATTTCTAATAGTTTAATACATGATTTGTTGTGAAACCTCTCCTTCTCTGCGTTTCAATGTTTCCTTATTGTGAAACCTTCCAGCCTGCTCTTCCACTTCTGACCTTCTTATGGTGTCAGCCCTGAGCTCCCTGAAGCCTCCCCCTAATGACAGTGCACTGCCGATTCACGCACAGAGCAATAATCACTAATTATTCCCCTCAACTACAACCCATTGCCCCCCACGCTACACAAACACATAAAGTCTCATGGTCACGATGGATGGCCTTAATATCAGTCTACTAAAAACAGCAGGCTCGAGGACGTCACAGGTTGAGCTGCATTTGTCACTAAAGCCGTTCACTGTGTACGGTAACTTGACGAGGGCAGGAAACCTAAGGGAAGTGATAAATATTACAATTGAGACTGAAATTCAGCTTTTGTTTGCAGAATGTGACTAAAAAGTAACCAAATTTGCACACAAACACAAAAGGTGCTAGATGCTGAGAAATGCATATGGTTTATGTCTCGGCTTTCTGCAAACAACAGGAAATCAATTGTACCCAATTAAGTCACTGTTGTTATTTACATATTTCTCAGACGGTGTTCTCAGTCGCTGTGGAGGAAGGGTGACACTTCCTGAACCACACCTTTTTTTTTCTAGTAATAGCTCTAATTGTGATTTCCCAGTTTGCACATCTAGTGGGAATACATCAATTTGGAGACAACTAGAAGACGGTGAATATAGGTAGAACAGATATTGTTAAAATAATCTAAAAAACACACCACCAGCCCACGCTTGTTCTCTCTGAGTCTCTATTTTGTCTGAGATTTCTCGATGGTCTATCTTCTTGCCTCGGTCCATTCAAGCTGTTGGAACAAAGAAGCATTTCCTCTGATTCTTATCATGAGCAGAGCGCTGCGTTCAGCACGCCTCTCTGGCCCATTATAGGTTAGTAGGAAAGGACACAAATAGCACACCAATTGATTCACTGTGATGTATTCATAGAGTCGGACACATTAAGCAGATTTGGAGCCACAGTCCCCCCCCCCCTCAAAAAAACACAAATGCACGTGTGCACACATGCAGATGCACAGATAATTGACTGGCCTTTTCAAACAGCTTCCTCTGACCCCCCTGTAATCATGGAAATAAAGGGCAAGAGAGAGGAGTGCAAGGAGGAGGAGGTGAGCATGGCTATTGAGTCACTGGATCAGCTGTCGTTGTCATGGCCAGAAGCCTGATTATCCCAGCGGGGGGGTTAAAAGACACGCTGGTGTTATACTCTCTGTATGTTTCTCCAATTTCACCCCATTATTGGTTCTTTGAAAAAGGCACAGTTCATCCCAACATTTATTTAATTTAATTTTTCTTCATACCTGTGGTGCTCATAATCATTATTTATCTTGACTGGTTTGTTGTGAGTAGCTTAGTGTTTAAAAGTATCTGCCTAAGCAATGGCTGTCTTTTCTAGAAATTAATGGAACTACAGCAGGTGGCAATCGTTTTTTAAAGCGCAGGAAAAAAAATCATAGGAAAAAATACATTCTAAAAACTCCAAAAATTCACAGATTTGTTTTAAGCAGTTTCTTGTAGGAACTATTTTCTTATCACTGTGCCAATATGACATATCACCTCGTAGAAGTGAGTTTACGTCTACACGTGGACGGGAGGCTCGTGTCAGACATGGGATGAACTATTTGGACTGATTAATAGTAAGAATATACAAAGGAAACAGTATCCAGGACAGGGTGTGCTGGTGTGTGGTTCTTTGTGTACACCTGCTACAAACAAGTACGCAATGAAACTCAAAAAAACAGGCACAACACAATTGCATTTTCATTTAGGTCAAAATCTTCTGATTCTTCAAACTCTACATCCCAAGTTTGTAAAATGTTTTAATACTTTCTAATACTTTCAAGAGATACCAGTATGGCATCTTTATTTTAGACATGTATTAGTCAGCTTTTTGTTGCTTATTAAGGTCATTGCACCTTTTTTAGGCTGTGCTATTCAGGTTGTGTTAATCAGTGTCTCTGTCTGGGTTTAATTGTGTCTGAACCAGTGTTTCTTATGGCTGATGCACTTCTTCTGTGCCTGCCAACATGGTTTTTAACTTTGTAACATTAACATAGTTACAAAGCATACACAATATATTCCACTTCTGTACAAAAGGTCCTCTTTCTTGCCCTAAAAACATAATTATGAAAATGTTGACAGTGTGAAATCTATTAAAGCTGACATCCCCCTAATTGTTATTCCCTTATGACTCACTTGCATAACCTCGTTTGTAACCGACTGTTTGGATAACTGTATAAAAACATCACAAGCCACAGTGACTAAAATTACTGTTGAATTCAATCAACACCTCCATTTTTTACCTGAGCAGGCGTGTCATGGCGTGGCGGCAGACGTAGTGCAGGGCCGTGTTGTGCTGGTACTGCTCTCCGTACGAAGCGTTGGGGTCCAGGCCGTCCCTGAACTGAGGGTTGCCCTCATACAGCTGCCAGGCCAGGGCCTCGTCGCCGCCCACCAGGGCCTTCCTGAACTTGGTGGCCGTGTTGCCCATGGCTTCAAGCTTGCAAAAGGCCGCCTAAAGGGAGCTGTGGCAGAAGCCCTTACGCCTGCCTGCGCCTCCCTCCTCCCCCTCCGCCTCCGCCGTTCACCGCAGGTCACAACTTAGAGCAACATGGTTTTGTGTTTTCCTGCCCTGTTAATAAAAGAAACACTTAGATTAATGAGAGGAAAAAGAGAGTGGAAAGAAGCACATGAGTAGAGGAAAGAATGAAAATGAGCGGGGGGAAAAGGCACTTGTGAAAGAAGGACAAAGCTGGAAAAACAAGACAGAAAGTGAAGAAGTAGGTAGACAGGTGGAAAGGGAGGGAGAGATAAAGCAGCTGAATCAATCAGTCCATTCATCGATCAGCTGATGTACTGCAGAGAGAATGTTATCTCACCGGAAATAGGAGGGAAACAGAGGGATAGAAGGAAGAAGCTAGAAAGACAGAGATAATTATAAAGAGGGCAGGCAAGAGGGGAAGGTTAATGATATCCAAGCCATCGATTGGTAAGTCAGTTGATGAAAGGAGCGGTCAATATTATCACAGCTGGCCACTGCGAAGCCAGTTAGCTTGCTTTTATGAAGAATTTGCATACATTAGGTTGTTTACACGCTTGTCGGTCTGCAACTGGCGATATGAGAGTGTGTGGTAAACCGTGCAAAACTAATACACTTTGCCAAAACCAGTTTTACTTTGCCTCTCAGGCGCTAAAGCAAAGAATCACAAGAATCATAGCTATGGCTGCTACAGCTTCACTCTCCCAGGGAGCAACAGCTCATAAAACCTCCTGTAGATTCACAAGTTATCACAATCTTTTCATCATCTTCCTCTCTACATTTCCTCACGCAACAACCGAAAACACACTCTTTCTCGCACATATTCACTGTCTTTCTAGGTCAGAAACCAGAGGAGACTGTGAAGTCCACCGCAGATGGACCACTTTTGGACAAAATGTCCTCTCCATTAAAAGGCAGCTCATTGTGGAACAGCCTCCCAACTGAGATATGGGATTGTCCCACTCTCAATAGCTTCAAAGGTCAACTCAAAGAATGGTTGAGAAACAAACATCCGTGCGATCACCGCTAAATGCACTTTAATACAATCTCCTCTTGCACTTTAGGTAGCTCTTGTATCTCCTCTTGCACTTGATATGTCGTTGCTGCTATATTGTATTACCATGTCATAAATACTTGTGTATGCTGCTCTTGCTCTTTTGCACTTTTTGAATATCATGTATTTTGTTTTTGCGATGTTTGTAAAATGTAATTTTCTTAAATGTTTTATGTGAGGGACTGCGGATGGAAATGAGCTCAAAGCTAAATCTGGCACTGTTACGCTCGACACATTTTAATGTTTTTTAAGTGTTCATTACTGTGCATTGTCCCTACCAAATAAACAATTAAATAAATAAAAAATAAGTTCTTCTTTATTTTGTTCATGGTATTACCAAACTCTCTATGGGTTTCTTACTTTCTTTAACTCTCACACACACATACACCGTTTCTTCTGTCTTGAACACACAAACACACACACGGTTACATCCTGTAATGAGTGGAGTCTGTGTGTGTGTATTGGGCCGTTGAGGGTATCATTACAGTCTTCATTCTATGGCCATCTGTCTGGCCCCCACAAAGAGCCTCTTTTAGCCCCGGCTACAGTTGGCCGCTGGCTCGTCGGGCTATGGAACATTTGAATAACGTGGCTGGCTGCGTCCCCTCCTTTGCCTCCCATTTCTATGAAGTGACGGATAGGGAAAACACACAGTGACAGACTGGGTGACAGACGGAGGCAAACGGGCCGAGCAGAGGCTGCAACCACTGGCGAATTAAAGCCAACATCTTTTACGTTCTGCTCCTGTGATGCAAGCAGTAGACCGGTTTAAGTGTAGGTGTGTGTGTGTGTGTGTGTGTGTGTGTGTGTGTGTGTGTGTGTGTCAAAAGGGGTGTTTGTGGTGGGGGGGGGGTTACTATAGTTATTAGGTCAGTATGTCTGCTTGGCTCTCTGTTTTGTGCACACTGGTTTACTTCCAGTTCACTTCACCCCTCTGTGTATCTCTGGCAGTCTCTCTCTGTCTCTCAGACTAAATAAGGACAGGAAGTCTGGACATGGAGGAACTTTGGAATTCCAGGGAACTTCAAGTTTGAGCTTGGCAGTGACAGCGCAATTATCTACTATACCCAAAGCTCTTTGAGCCCACACGTCACTCTTTGGTTGGTTTAAGTGAGGCTGAGAAAGTGTTTCACTTCTTGTCGCCTGGGCAATATTATTAGCTGGAAATACATCCAGAAACTTGTGCCACAGATATACAAAGAACAGGCCTCTAGTCCATACGGTATTCCCCATTTTAGGTAATGTGATAATGGAGACTTAATGACTCATGAACTCAAGAATCCCAAACACATGAATGTTGTCGGGAAATGTTTGTCTGATGATTCCTGCTGATGGGAACTCCAGTCATAGCATTCATGCTTCCTCTGAAACCCAACCAGCTACACACACATTAAGACAAGAAGCTACTTTAAAATGTTTTACAAGCAATATTGCAATTTAAGAGGATTTTCCTGGTGAGATTGTCTTTGGGCTTCTTTATAAATACACGCAAGGGGGAGAGCTTAAAGGGGTGGTCAATATATTGATCCACAGAAAATCAGTCTGCAACTACCAAACAACTTTCCAAGCAAAAAGAGGAACAATGGACTCATTCTTTTTGTTTTTGATTTACAATTTTTAAGTTTCTACTGATGTTTAAACAAAACATTAAAAAACTTCCCCTTGTGCGCTAGGACAATCTGACACTTTATAAACAATTAATCGATTTATCAGCAAAACAGATTTAGTTGGATAAGCGTTGTTTGTATTCATCATTTCCAATACAGAATTATTGCTATTGAACAAAGGCTCAGTTGTTTATTCGACCAAATATGTGAAAAATGTTGGAAACAGCCAGCAGTCCAAAACTTGGACATTAATCTCAATGTGAAACAAAAAAGCAGCATATCTTTCCTTTTATGATTGAGTTTTTAGAACAAATAATTTGAGAGTAACTGTCTGGCAGTCAACTATACGACTGTTAGATCTAATCTAAACAATTATTTATTGCATTCCTACCAGGGTTACTGTCTGACATACATATCAATATTACACTGATATGCATCTCAGCTCTTTGAGAGGAGTCCAACTTTGATAAGCTACAGACATAACCTAAGTACATTGTTAAAAAGTCAGGCCTACCTGCCAACACCTTAACAATCAAATCTACAGTAACTACTTTGTGAGTATCAACATCATATTCCTTTGAAATAAAACCCACCCACTCTCTGTTGCCTTTACTGTTATCACAACTAGCTGCCACCTGACAGACATCAAAACAGACACCTCAGTCAAAATAAGGGTGGATCATGCCTCAGTATAAACTGACAAAAACAGGAGACATCAAACTTATAAGGGGGAGATAAAGTCACACCTGCACAGTGAGTTTCCTCAATTCTTACTTTCGCATTCACCAAAATTAGCTAGGTCACCGTCAATCAGCTACATATCCAGGTCAGACCTCGTGTGGTTATCCCTGAAGAAGTGTGTCAGCATGAAATGGAGCACAAAACAAACACACTTCTCTTTGCATGTTTCTGTCCATGCGGCCCCTCGGTTAAAGCTCCTTTGTTCAACACACTGACTGGGAATGTCATTACCGAAAGAGGAAAGCGAGTGTTAGGGTGTCCCACATTCTGCCGATAAAACAGCGTTACCTTAGGGTGTCAACGTGTCCCCACAGCTGTGAAGGCGCAGTGGGAAGACGTTAACACCCCGAAAGCAGCGTACCTTCCAGCCGTTACCGAAGCTAGCTTTCTCTCAGGTTAGCGTTAGCCTCAACTACGTCCAGCACCACAACATCACATCTCATTTACTCACACAGTCGTTTCACTTGATCACCAATCGCACAATGGGAAACCTGCGTATATCGAGGGCCATTATCTTCTCACTGTCATTCGCATCCCCGGCTGCTGTTCCGCTGAACCATCCTCTCTCTGCCACCGGACCGGGGACGATGCTGCTGTGAGCGGAGGGGCGAGACTGACTGGCCCGCTTCGGTGTGTTGTTGTGGATGCCAGAGAGAAAAGAGGACTGCGCATGCGCGGGAACAACTGTCACACGGAGAGCTCGCATCTGATTGGTCGGTTGTCTAGGTTCGTTTGGTGTACTTTTTGTAACATCTTGTAAAATGATGTTTCTCAAAATGTCCCAAAAATATATTGCTTTTCTGAAAGACATGATATTATACATCAAAATAGTTAGGGTTAGAGTTAACCCTAACCCTAAATTGTGCAAAACCCTAACCCTAAATTGTGCAAAAGTAAAAAAAAGCCCTTAAAACAGCCGAGGGACCACTGTTTTGTTTTTTTCTCTCTGTTTTCTATTCATAATGCCCTCAGTTTTGAATTAATGTAATGAATACAGATGTTATGTGCGTTTTTTTTTTTATGTATTGGAATAATTGTTGTCAATAAAGTTGAAATTGTCAGCCCTTAAATTAATAAAAAAACAAAATGCAATTAATCTGTGAAGCACAATTGAAAATAAGCATTTATATAAAAAGCCCTAGCCCTTTGAATGTAATGTACACACAGTGTTTGTGCTCTTCTGAATTGGTATCCTCATTGTTGATTGCACTTATTGTGAATCACTTTGGATAAAAGCGTCAGCAAAATGAAAAGGATGTTAAGTAACCTTGAAATAGGAAACTGTATAATAAGGGATTAGCTTGTCGATTTATGTGCTGTAGTTGTGGCTGATCTGATCCTGTGTTTAAAGTATTAGGCAACAAAAAAAACTCGGTCAGACTTTATCAATAGAAAAAATTCAACTTTATGTATGTATTTACTTGAACAATACATTACAATATTACAATGGTATAACGAATCAGTCTCTTCCTGCATCACTTTCATTCTCTCACACACACACACACACACACACACACACACACACACACACACACACACACACACACACACACACACACTTCTATTCTTCTTTTAAACGGCATATGCCCTGACTGCAGGCCTCACACAGGTCCGACTCATGTGGTTTGGAATTATGTTTAGAGTGTGGTGGCTCCCTTCCGACATCGTTGTCATCCATTTCTCCGTAGCAATTCTTCCGGATTTTGGCACACAGCCTGAGCAACGCTCTTTCCACCTCCTCCTCGGAAAAACCAGGACGGGCATAAGTATAATCATGGCAACTGCGACAGGCCTGTCCAAAGGGCCTCATGATCACTGCCCCCCGTTCACCGCGCAGCCGGTAACGGAACAACACCGTGACCTTTGCTGAACTCCAAACTTTACTGCATGATGGACACTTCAAACTGTGGGGGAAGGAGAAGACAATAAATGAAAGTTGGAGATTCTCAGGGTTAGTACGATTTCACCTGAGGTATTTGAACCATCAGCTTTTAAGGGGTGTCAACTACCAACTATTTTCCAGATTTTAAGTATTTTACAACAAAAGCTAACTGCTTGCTAAAAGCAAACCAGACCTGTAGCAATTGTTTGCAAATTGTACTGTATAGTACCAGTGGTAATCATTATTATCTTTATTTTATTGTTTTGCCATAATGGTAGTGTATTGTGGCATAATTATACATATAGCTCGACATTTAAGTTACACAGTGCATGTAAAAGCCCAATTAGGGACCAATGTGGAAATAAAGCAATAGCAATACATTTAATGCACATTGGAACTACTGTATGTTAAAGGGCATTGTCCTTTTTAAATAAAACATGTAAAACCAATATTGTTAGGTTCTTACAAGTAATGTTTTTTTATTTTTGTATTTAGGAAGTTCAATCTTACAATAACTTTGTTGGTTGAATCATATCATGTGCTTTTTGAGTCACCATAAAACAGGAGAACTTGACACATGACCGGTTTCATCTGACATTGTCTGCATATTTAGTTTACCTTTACTTTTGTTAGATAACAGAAAACAGTTTTTAAAGTATAGCAATGTTTTTATCACAATTGACCTGCATATATAGTTTAAAGTAACATATTGCAATCCTGTGCAATAAACCTGAAATGTGCAATATAAACACTATCTGCTATTTGTATGGTGCTATGATCACTTTAACTTTTAATTTGACCTGCTATTCAACTTTTGCTGTAACACGTGTGTATATTTATAGATATATATATAATATAAAAGATACATACTTTCCAAAGGCAGAGTGGCAGAAAGTCTTCCAGCCCCTCTTCTTCTCCTCTTTGGTGAGTGTGTCTCCCTGGGTGTAGCTGAAGTTCAGAGTCCACTGGTCTCCATGGTCCAGCTCATTGTCGTCGTCCAGCAGCTCCTCAAAGGTCTCTTTCCACAAGGAAGGAAGCCAGTCTGCATGAACAAATAAAAGCGTTACAGTCAGAAAAATACAAGTCTTTGTGTCACAACACTGAAAAAACAACAGGCTCTCGAAGGTTAATGACAGCATGTTATCGAAATATAATAAGGGTCACGCCCTTCTTCCATCTGTTTAATAAATACATAAATAAATCTTATTGTAACACGACATTTTACAAAAATGCATTTAATATTATGAACCGATGGCACTGAATTTACAAAACAACATTGCATAGCACATCATAAACACAATATTAACGTATTAAACACCAAAAAGGTGTGCAAAATGAAATTGTCTTACCTGCGGATCCCTTCATTTTGCTCAGGTATTTGATTCACTTCTGGTAGATGGAGATGAAACGACGTTTAGCTTGAAGATGTCGCTCTGCACACTGTCTCTGTATTTATACCCTCCCAGCAGCTTACACTGGGAAACGAAACTTAACATCATAGTTTCGTTTTCCTTCTTGTCGGTGCAAGGACAAACAAGCAAGATTATGGCAAGGCAAAATAAAATGCTGTAAGGGAATTTCCTGTTCTTATACTGACCAGTGACGTGCGGTGAGGTTCATGGGTGAGGCACTGACTCACTGACTCAGATTTACAAATATTATATTTTGACCTTAATCGAAATATTCGGTTTTCAAAAGCTTTTTTAGTCTGATGCTTCGATTCATTTTAAACAGACCGTTCAACAAAAGGATACCCAACATCTAAATATTGGATTGGTCTTTCTTAGTAAGATCCCATTTTCATTACAAATGTGCATGGTTTTACTTTGACTTGAAGATGAAGTCCATGCTATCCTTCTGGACAACAATTAGTGATGGGAATTATGGCTCTTTGAAGGGAGCCGGATCTTATGGCTCCGTTCCTTTCAAAGAGCCGTTCAAAAGAGCCGTTCAAAAGAGCCGTTTTTTTAAAAAGGGGGCGGGGTTACTAGGTTTATCTGCGAAATAATCACCAGGATAATGATTGACTGCATTGCCAGACCTAATGTCAATAATCTGCATTGTAAACATGACACAAGGTGGCGCCATATCCATGTCATTCATGTCAGTGAATGTACTTTGAATTTACCCTCTGCATGTGTTAAGTAAATAAAGTTGCCTTGCCTTGAATGAAATTCACGCAACTCTTAATATTAGTAGTGTGTTTTTAAGTGGCGATGGAGATTATTTGTTGACCGTGCTTTAAAGGATATTTTGCCTTTACAAATGGTGCGCTTTATCACTGCCTGGGTTTTGGTTGAAGTGCATCCAAATGCTGCTGCGTTTTCGCGTTTGGCTCATTTTACATCCGAAAAACACGTCGTCTATCTGTCCAGTACCACTTGTTATGACTTCTCTCTCTCGCGTATTCCGTTAAGACCCACCCCACCTAACTCCTCGTGCTGAAACCTACAAAACAGAGTAGGGGCGGGTCTTCACAGAATACGTTTGGGGAACAAAATCAAGCTTTTTAAAAGGCGAGTGAATTTTGGCAGGCAGTGAGTGCGGACCAACTTTGATTGAACGATAAGAAGAACGGCTCTCACCAAGTACGACTCGGTTCCCCTCGTTCGTACCAAAGAGCCGTTCAAAAGAATCGGCTCGTTCGCGACCGACACATCACTAACAACAATCTCTATTACTTTTTTGTAAAAGTCCTCCTTATCTTCCTGTAGTTTCAAAAGTCTAGTTTGTTGTTTGCGTCTACCGTCTCTGCGTAGAATTACAGTAGCAACAAGAACCTGTGGGCTCACGTGCGGGGCACACTTCAGTGCGGCAGAGGTTATGTCTGCCTCCCCTGGTGCTTTTTTGCCGTCGTATGATGAGACCAGCGAGCCTAAATATCATATATACGTTAAATAAGTTATTTAGAGACTATGGATGGCGAGGATAAATGTAATAAAGGGATCTACAAACATTACATGGTAACAGGCATGCGCTTAGGGCCCGCTTTCCAGCCAGTTTCTGTGGGGTGACGCATTCTGAGGTGAGGCAGATCTCATCTGTGCCTCACCCACAGGTGCCTCCCTGCCTCCCCTGACTGCACGTCGCTGATACTGACCGTATATAATTACTTACTTTGTATGTTAATAATTAATTAATGGGCTAAACATGTATTGCATCATGTATGAATTGTATATGAAAACCCTTTATCTCTGTTATAAGTTAAACCACATGTATTTTCTCATCTGTTTCTATAAGATTGATTTTGAGCTACTTTGTAGTTATTGTATAATTTATCTTTGACTTATTGTAAACTTTTATCCTAGCACAAATTGAATCATGTATGCACTTCTTAATTTCTTAAGCGATGAGCCTCTTCTCATGCTAATATGATAATAACATCAGCATGTCAATCTTTGTCCATGTGATTGTTTGCTGTTGTTTTTGTTTCATTTGCAGTATCATTACTGTAACGAAACGAAAACGAAACGAAAATTACTGACGAAAGTGATGACACATCCCAGTTCACACAGTTAAACTCTGGTCAGTAGGGGGCAGTATAAGACAGCTGCTTGATTCATGGCGAAGGATGTAATTGCAGTGCGTTTGAACATAAGGGTGACATCTTTTGGTGCACAGTGGAAAAAAGTATTTTAAGGAGTCCCGGGATTTCCCACAAGCCACTGCCAGTTTCTTAGAAGTGGGCAAACTGGGTCAGCTTTCCTCTGATATAACAAAATTAAATATACTTTGATTACTGTAGAGTCCCTC